TTTCATAGAAAGACTTAATAGAGAACACTTTGTTATTCCCCAAATTCCACCTGATAGTATCATGGCTATCTGATAACGTACCTTGAAGTAAAGCTAGCAATCTTTGGAACTCAGTCACCTCCCAATTGTGAAAATCCCTTCTGAATTTCAAATCCCAAAAAACGTTTTCACCTTGTACCCCCGAATTTGTTGGACCGTCAGCCTCTTTTAACATGAAACCCTTTAAATGCTCGGGACTTCCGCTTTCAACATGTTATCCCCACACCATTTATGCCCCCAAACACTAACACTCCCCCCATCACCTATCCCGAGTGCCACTAAATTCGACACAGACCTTCATAATATTCCTTCATAACCCACACCCATAAGGCATATTGACATCTTTAGTTCTCTTTAAGAACTTTTAGTGGCTTCATGAACAATGCCAGATAATCAATTTCACTTACTTCTGCTCATTGATCCATTTATTGCTGCTATAAACAACATAAGGGTAGTCAGTTTCACCTTGTTGTGTCTTTTTTCTCTATGTATTGACTGATTTTTTGGGACGTTTCAATTGTTTTTTCAACTCTTTCTTATTTGTCTGCTTACGTGCTGAGGCCATTATGAATTATTTTATCTTCACTTCCCTTAGCATTTCCAGAGTTGCATGCTTGACATACTCCATATTCTTTTACTTGACATGCTCCATATGTTCTTCGAACTCTTCATCACACTAATATTTTACTGATGAATTTTTATTTCTTTTTCAATGTAGAGGGAGATGGAGCAGAGTCTTAACCTTGATGTTAATATCAAAGATATCCTTAAGTGTCTCAGCAGTTCATCAGTATTAGTTCTGTGTCTGTTATTAGACTCTGATAATTTCTTCTCCACCTTTCCATTTTTAATGTATCTAGAACAACCCTTGCTTATAGAAGCACTTTCCACGACCTATATAAGGGAGACCTCAAAGCTTTTTTCAACTTTGATTATTTCTTTTGGGATGAGAGAAACAACTTTATTCATCAATACAAGTAGGATTAATGAGGATTGAAACGGTGTCTTGGAGTTACAATACATTGAAAATAGAAGCTCGTGAAAGTACCTTCCAATCTCCTTGAAAGTATCTATTAAAGCTAGTCCGCTGAAATTTTTTGTTGCCTTATTTCTACCAAAGTGCACCACGAAAAGGGTACTTTTCCTCTCCCTCTGTAAATTATTGTGATCGATGTTTTTAAGGATATTTCAAATATACTGTATTATACAATTAGGATCAGAAAAAATTAATTAGGATGATTAGTTTCCTGTAATTATCTAATCCTTGATTTGCTTTCCTAGTTTAGAACATGTATGCTTTACTATTTTAAAACCCTATAGCTTGAGGGAATAATCAAACAGAGTTTCTCTCAATTCTTACTTGCTTGTCCTGCTTTCTCACATGGTATCAGAGCATCTAGTGAGATTAGTAGACACTGTACAGTAATCAGTGCCATATACATTAGAGATATCCTGTTGTCACGGAATTGTCCGGCAACTAAATGCATCTGTTCTAGGTTACTATACTTTCTAGGGACATTGTGAGTGTAGGAGTACCACCAGTAGACTCATAACTTCCTGCAACCCTAGCCAAGAAAGCTCACTACCCTAGGGCCCTCGATGCGTGGCATGAGCCTGCGCTGGTGCGTGCAGGCTTTTCCAGCCACATCCCAACCACGGTTTTCACTCTCGGGGGGTTGCGTCTTGAATTCGACTCCGCCCGCCCAGGTTTCAGCTTGTTCTGTTGCTACAGCGAGGACAAGTTTCGCTTTTCCGGCGAGATTAGCGTTTTTTTCTTCTTTTATGCACTGGTCAGGCATCCTCTATTGTTGAAGTGCAGCGAATGGGAAAATAAGCCCTCGTACTTCATGTTTTAAGGATGGAAGAGTTTGCTGGCTTGGTAAAATCGTGGTGGGAGTCATCAGCAAATTATAATTGGGAAGCTGTTTCATTACTAACTCTGCTGCCACTCATTAATTGCACTTTTCTTCATCCCTGAAGAGAAGTCTACTGAAGATTATATTATCTTGAAAAGACGGATACTTGACATCTTATTCAACAAAGACAAACACAACAATAAAGTCACTCTGCAGTATGATGGTATTGCAGCTTCCTGGTTGTTCTGCTTAACATTCATACAGATTCCTAAACCAGTGGATTGGGAAAAGCACATACTTCAGGGCTCAGAAGATTGGAGACGGCAGAAGGTGGTATCTGAATTGTTTGAAGAGCGTCAAATATGGGTCAAAGAGTCATTAGCTGAGCGCTTGCGTGATGGGGGTCTGAAGCTTGGAGAGAGCAGGATCAAAAGGTAGCATATGAAATTCTTATACAGTCTTCACTTCTATTAGTTGGATTAAGTCTTGGAAATGATACTGTTCATAGTATAAATTTTTGGTCTATCTCCGTCATTATGCAGGCTTCTCTTTAGAGTAGCATATTACTTTTCGAGTGGGCCTTTCCGTAGATTCTGGATAAGGAAAGGTTATGATCCTCGGAAGGATCCTGAATCCCGCATGTAAGAATGAAACAGTAATCTTTTCTTGTAATCTTTAACTGCTACTTATCAAAGAAATGTTTTCCTTGTGAATTTCACTTAGTTATATGTATTCACTAATGATGCTTTCTGAACTTTGTCCCCCTTGTCCCTGATTTATTAGAGTTTTTGTCTCATATGTCATCGAAAATGTATCTTTCCACTTGCTTGTTAATAGTTCTGTTGTATATACCCATGCAAACCTTGGGAAATCAGTAAATTTTTGCTTTAAGAGGTGGCATCTGCAGTTGAGAGAGAGGTTAGGAGAGGGTGACAGAAATCCTATGACTGCACACATTTTAGTTCGAGTAAAATATTTTTGAATATAGATTATGAAACTGACCAAATTTAGTTGATTTATCCTAAAGATGGAATTTCTATCCATTTTCTCCTTTGTTCCCCTCTTTATTTGTCCCTTCCCATTTGTCTTCTTCCTCTGACATAGAGCTGATTCCTCTTCTCCACAAGTGGGATCAACCAAAGGTGTGTGATCCATTTGTATCTTATTTGCACTTTTCTTGTTCTTGTGTTGCTTAAGGTACTTAGAATCAATTCTAACACGTTAGTTTTAGGTGCAATTTTTTCGAACTCTTCATTATGCTTGTGCTTACTTCTTATAATTTGTAAAAACAGATACCAGAATATTGATTTCCGAGTGCTCCCTGAATTACGAAGCTACTGTGAGAGTCATGCGTCTTCTGGGTACTGAATCTGTTCACAACTTCATATCTCTTATGCGTTTCTTAGAATTTAAATATCTCTATGAGCTCTCGGTAATTAAGAATGCTGTAATCTTCATCTCACATTGAACCTTATCCAGTCTTTGAATTTATATTTATCTAAAACTAAAAGAAGCTTGCTTGGTGCGCGAAGTGCACTTTCTGGCTTTTTCAGAAGTACCTTATGTCCTATAGGTCTGGTTTCAGATGGGAAATGTATTACAAGCTCTTTAAATAGTTAGGTTTGGTTTCAGATGGAAAAGGTATACAAGTTATTTGAGTTGTGTTCTGCTGACTAAACTGGAGTAAATTTTGGCGAGTTATAAAGTTAAGTAGATTGATAAACATTAATTTCCTTTAGCTTATTTAGCTAAAGTTAACATGAAAACAACAATCATGTGGCTAGCCGTATGGTGCATTTAGAATTGCAATCATTTCCTGTCTTCATGATCTATGAATCATTATGAGGAGCCATATGTTTAGAGATTGCGCTGTGAAACTGCCCCTTGCTTTTACAGTGGTCATGGCCGCACTGAGTTTCGGTTCAGAGAGCATCTAAATTACATTCAAATGAAAATGGTCAGTAAGAGATATTACCTCTCAAAATCAGTCCATAGACTTTTAGTTCTCACTCCTTACATCAAGTAAGGGGATAGGAGAGATGCGGTAGGAAATACGAGTCTCGCCTGCCACCCATCGTCACCCAAAATTTTTGTTATCGGTTAGTAGCGGTAAAAAGTCAGAGGACCATAAGGATACAACTCGAAACGACTTGCTTATCTTTTCTTTCTCCATCTTTTGATCAAACTAATTTCTTGTGATTAACTCAGAAGTTGAGAGAAAAATAATTTCTCTTTATTTGTATATTTAGATCTTGCTTGAGTTGGTCAAACCATCAAAGGGCGTACTAAAAGGATTATATAGTTATTGACATAGAGGGATCTTGTAATTATGGGAAACTTCAAATGTTCCAAGTAAAAGTCTCTCAAATTTTCTTTTCAGTTAGTCAAATAGCATTTCATTTATGCCAAAAGAGTGCCAAAAGATATATGTACAATGTAAGACTGCATGCTAGTCTTGATCTTTTGACAAACTGTTCCTTTTTACACCAAATAAGTGAAATGAAAAAAGAAAGAACCCTTTACAATCTTTGAATTCTTGTTGATAAATGGACCTTGGGCCTAACTGAACTCCAAAAGCTAGCTTATGAGGTGAGGATTGCCCAAGACCATATAAGGAGACCAAGAAACCCAAATCCCACCGACGTTGGACTCAACACCCCCCTCTCCCTCGCGCCCAAGCTTGCAAACTGAAGCGTGGACATTATAAATGGAGGCCCAACATCGGTAACAATAAATTGGGATGGGCTTGGCTATGATACCATGGCAAATGGACCTTGGGCCTAACTCAACCCTAAAAGCTAGCTTATGAGGTGAGGATTTCCCAAAACCATATAATGAGACCAAGAAACTCAAATCCCACTGATGTGGGACTCAACACTTGCCATTGCCTTGAAATATCCTTCTCTTCTTTCCGTTCCAAATTGTCAACCAAAAAGGCATAATGGCTACTAGAATGTCCCCTGTTAGTTGAGGGAATGAGCTGTTGTTTCCTTACATGATTTTGGGCAATTTTCACATTAAGAGATAGCTTTTAGAGTTGAGTTGTACCTAATGTCCATCTTCTTTACAGATACCGCAGCCAAACGCATCACTATTATGGATTTACCCAATGTTGAGTTCTCGTGTCATATTCTCCATGCTCCAGATGCCATCCCTAAGCATTCCAGATGTGGTAGAATGTCCCGCTTAGTTGAGGGAATGGGATGTTGTCTTTTTGTATGGTCTCGGTTGATTCTTAGTTTATGAGCTAGATTTTGAGGTTGAGTTAGGTCTAAGGTCTATTTTATAATATGGTATTAGAGCCGACCATTCCTAATCTTGATTTACCTAATGTTAGGCCCTCATATTATATCGTCCACACTCCAAATGTCCAGTTCCGGGCATGCAGGGGGTGTTAGAGTGTCTCATATTTGTTCTGGAAATGAGATACTGTCTCTTTATGTTATTTTGGACAATCCTCACCTTATGAGATAGTTTCTCAGATTGAGTTAGCCCCAAATTCCATTTTCTTAACATGATATTAGAGCCATACCCATCCTGTTATGTTTCAAATTTTGGGCTTTTATGTTATGTATGTTCTAGTTGTCCAGGTTCGAGCGTGCAAGGGGTTTAAAATGTCTCACTTTGATGGAGTGAATGTATTGTTGTCTCCTTATACAAATTTGGGTAAGTTTTACCTCATGAGTTAGTTTTTGGGGGGAAAGAGTTAGACCCTAGGTTCATTTTCTTTACAATGGTATCTTTATTGCTGCTTTATGTGATCGAGCTTCCTTAACCTCCAACTTGCAATGTGTTCGGGTGAGGTATGTGTTTCAGTTTTATAATGAGAATACCACTGCCCAAAGTTGTGAGGCCACTCTATGATGCAACAATAAGTGATCAACATCTTTCCCTTATTGTTCACCCGCAACACCAACTTTCAGAAATTCGTTTCTCTAGAATGTTTAATCAATGGATTGCATTTCACTAACATGTGAAGAAATTAACTTATTTCATTTTTCCTTTCAATTTGCCTTATTTGGTCTCACTTCAGGTTCACATAAGTATTTAGGTGTTACTTGGGAAGTGGTTATGGAGATTTGGGGTACAGGAGAATGCTTTTGGAAGAGGTGATTGCGGAGAAATGTGGGGTTTTGGGATGAGGAGGGAGAACTAAAAATATTACACTCTCATATGGGTGTGGGTTATGGAGGAATATTTTAAAGGGTTAGGAAGAGTTCAATGAGAATGTATCATATATGGTGGGGATTGGAGTAGAGTGAGTTTTTGGGGGACACAGATGGTGTGAAAGTAACATTTTAAGTATTACTTCCCCTAACATGTACAATATTTCATGCCAAAAGAAGTTGTGAATCCATTGCATACTTGTTGATTAGTATGATTTCAAGAGTTTTGATTAATTTAGGAGATTGTTGATTAGCATGATTTCAGGAGATTTGATTATACTTAGAAGATATAATTTGATTTGATTTGATTTGATAGCTGGACTGATTGTATAGATTTGTTTTTCCTTAATTAGCATTAGGAGCTTTGTATAAATTTCCTTGCTCATGGAATGTAAACACACACAAAAATACAATAAGCCTTTTATTCTTCTCAAAATCTACATGGTATCAGAGCCATTGCTGCCTTTTTGAGGTGAATTATCTCCCTCGCAGCACTAGGGTTTTGTTTTTATCAAAGAGGTCGAGTTTTCTCTCTCTTAATGGCTGTCCGCAACACAAACTCCTTATGGTCAGTTTTTTTTGGAATTTTCTTTTCTGTTAGGATCGCTGGAACATTCCGAGCCTTTCCCAACCAGTTTTGATTTTACGTTCACCGGAGTTAAGGTTCCGTCGAGACAAATTTGGTTTCCGGCAAGACAGATTATTTTTCAGCAATTTTCTTCAAATTTCCTTCTTATTAGGCAGAAAATATGGAGACATTGAGACTGCTTGTACACTTCTCATTGAGTCTCATGTTCCATTGCATTTTTGGGATGATGCAGTTCTCACAACTTGTTATTTGATTAATCGGATGCCTTCATCTCTCATCCAGAATCAGATTCCGCATTCAGTATTGTTTTTCCGGTCACCCTTATACTCTCTTCCCCCTCGTGTTTTTGGGAGCACATGTTTCGTTCATAACTTAGCCCCTAGGAAAGATAAATTAGCTGCTCGTGCTCTCAAGTGTGTCTTCCTTGGTCATTCTCGTGTTCAGAAAGGATATCGTTGTTACTCACCTGATCTTCGTAGGTACCTTATGTCAGCTGACGTCATATTTTTTGAGTCTAGACCTTACTTTACCTCTTCTGACCGCCTTGATATATCTGAGGTCTTACCTATACCAACCTTTTAGGAGTTTACTATAGCTCCTCCTACACCCTCAACCATAGAAGTCTTACCTATACCAACCGTTGAGGAGTCTAATGTTGCTCCTTCTAGATCCCAAGCCACAGGAACACCACTCTTGACTTATCGTCGTCGTCTGCTCCTAGCATTAGGCCCAACTGATTCACGTCCTGCACCTGACCCTGCTCCTATTGCGGACTTGTCTTCTCCTATTCCACCGATTGCACTTCGGAAAGGTATACGGACCACACTTAATCCTAATTCCTATTATGTTGATTCAAGTTATCATCGTCTATCATCACCTCATGATGCTTTTGTGTCTCCCTTGTCCTCTGTTTTCCATCACTCAGTCTACATGTGAAGCGCTGTCTCATCCAGGATGGCAACATGCTATGATTGACGAGATGTCTGCTTTACATATGAGTGGTACTTGGGAGCTTGTTTCTCTTCCTTCAGGTAAATCTATTGTTGGTTGTCGTTGGGTTCATGCAGTCAAAGTTGGTCCGGATGGCCAGGTTGATCGACTTAAGGCCCGTCTTGTTGCTAAAGAATATACTCAGATATTTGGGCTCGATTACAGTAATACTTTTTCTCCCATGGCTAAAATAGCATCAGTCCACATTTTTCTATCCATGGCTGCTGTTTGCCATTGGCCTCTCTATCAGTTGGACATTAAGAATGTTTTTCTTCATGGTGATCTTGAGGATGAAGTTTATTTGGAGTAACTACCTGTTTTTGTTGCTCCGGGGGAGTCTAGTGGCCTTGTATGTCGCTTGCGCTAGTTACTTTATGGTCTAAAGCAGTCTCATCGAGTTTGGTTTGGTAAGTTTCAACACAGTTATCCAGGAGTTTGGCATGACTCGTAGTGAAGCTGATCACTCTGAGTTTTATTGGCATTCTGCTTCAAATCTCTGTATTTATCTGGTGGTTTGTGTTGACGATATTATTTTACAGGCAATGATCAGGATGGTATTACTAAGTTGAAGCAACATCTCTTTCAACACTTTCAGACTAAGGATCTGGGCAGATTAAAGTATTTTTTGGGTATTGAGGTCGCTCAGTCTAGCTCAGGTATTGTGATCTCACAACGGAAGTACACCTTAGACATTCTTGAGGAGACATGAATGACATGCTATAGACCTGTTGACACTCTGATGGGTCCGAATTCTAAACTTCTGCCTGAACAGGGGGAGCCGCTTAGCAATCCTGCAAGATATAGGCGGCTGGTTGGTAAATTAAATTACCTCACAGTGACTGGACCTGCCATTTCCTTTCCTGTGAGTGTTGTAAGTCAGTTTATGGATTCTCCTTGTGATAGTCATTGGGATGAAGTTGTCCGCAATCTTCGGTATGTGAAGTCAGCCCCAGGCAAAGGGTTATTATTCGAGGATCGAGGCAATGAGCAGATCGTTGGATACTCAAATGCTGATTGGGCAGGATCACCTTCTGATAGACATTCTACATCTGGATATTGTGTTTTAGTAGGAGGTAATTTGGTGTCTTGGAAGAGCAAGAAACAGAATGTGGTTGCTCGGTCTAGTTCAGAAGCAGAATATCTAGCAATAGCTATGGCAACATGTGAGCTAGTTTGGATCAGACAGTTGCTCAAGGAGTTGAAATTTGGTGAAATCAGCCAGATGGAACTTGTGTGTGAAAATCAAGCTGCCCTTCATATTGCATCAAATCCGGTGTTCGAGAACTAAACACATTGAGATTGACTGTCACTTTGTCAGAAAAAAGATACTCTGAGGAGATATTGCTACAAAGTTTGTAAAGTCGAGTGATCATCTTGCAGATATTTTCATTAAGTCCCTCACTGTTTCTCGTGTTAGTTACATATGTAACAAGCTCGGTACATATGGTTTGTGTTAGTTTACAGCATGTATATAGTGTAGTATTGTCCCACATTGGTAGAGGAGTAGTATGTCCTTGTATAGTATAGCTATTAATAAGGACCTCTTGTATTGTATTGTTTATCCAATATCAATAACATATTTTCTCCCGTGCCTTCTCACA